TCCAATACTTGGAAGACCATCATCAGTAGATGGTTCATATTCAAATAAAGCACGAACATATAAGGTTTTTTTTTGGGTAGTACGTATTAAAGTCCCAGTAGAAGCAGCTAGCTGAGATTTTAACTCATGAATTTTAGCTTCAAACCTAGATTTCAAAAAATCATTAGTTGGTTTATAAAAAAAAAAAAAAACAAAAAGTTAAATTTAATACCTGTTATAATCTTTGGGTCTATGTTGAACTGTTAGTACAACAGTTTGTCCTGCACCTTTTAAAGCATCAGCAGCTTCTTCATGTGTTGCGTTTGTTAGATCAATATCATTTACTTTTAAAATAGTATCACCTCGTTTTAACTGTCCTGTTTGATCAGCTGGTCCACCAGCTAGTATAAGAGATATAAATATTCCTTCACCATCTTCACCTCCAACAATATTAAAACCCAAACCTCCAGTATTTTTGTGCAAAACTACAACTCTTTCATCATGGCTAAGTACATTATCATAGCTTTTGACAGTATTTAGAGTATCAGTAGAGTAAGAGTTATGAATTATTTCAGATATTGGGTATGATATAGAATCAGTATAATTATTAGATTCAATCTTTTCAACAACTAGCAAAACTTTTTCTCTAGTATTCTTTAATGTTCGAACAGCTTCCTCATGGGTTACATTTTCTAATATACGATCTCCAAGTAAAGTGTTTTTAACTGCTATTAATTTATCACCCACCATTAGTCTACCATCTACTTGGGCTGCACCACCATTCATAATTTGAGTAACATATATTCCATTATCACCAGGAATATGTTGATTACCAATTCCTCCAGCAATACTGAAACCTAATCCCTAAAATATAGCTGAAGTTGTTTAAAAAATATTTTTAAATAAAGTAATATTTCAAAATAAACATATAGATTTAATTAATATAATCAATTTTAAAATGTCATACTAATAGTGTAGTTATTAAACAACATTAAATTAATGATAATGTATCAATGAATATTGAAGATAATAATTAATTATTGAGTTTATAAGTATGCATTTAATTATGTAATATTACTGATCAAAGGTGCTGTCTAATCAAATTAAAATATAGTAATGATGTATGTTAAAATTTTTAAACAATAAAGCAAAAATTACTTTGATGAACTTTATAATTATTAATAAAAAAACTTTAAAATGTTATTCAATGGAACAAGTAACATGCAAAATAAAATTATTTTCGATAAGAAATTTAAATTGCATTCAATAATAGAGAAACAAATTCTTGCTTAATCTATGATTATATTTTAAAACATATTTTT